TTTTTGTTTTGTTTTTGGCCCGGCCGGGCAAGTGACCCTGGGCCACTCTGGTAGCCTAGACTGGTGGTCAATTGCTTTACTAAGCATGCACACTATATTGCATGCCGCTATGGTATAGATCAAACCGTAATTTGTACTTTAACCTTGTAGCGGTTTATCACAACCTTTTGGCAAGCATCGCATTCTGTATGTGCAGTATCTCATTTTGGCCGTCATTTGCAAACCGTAATTTGCACTTTAACCTTGTAGCGTTTTATCACAACCTTTTGGCACGCATCGCAATCTGTACGTGCACTATCTCATTTTGGCCGTCATTTGCATAGTCTTGTCTGCAGTCGTCATATCATATCTAGCGCGATGGTTAGGCGGAGGTGACCAACAAGACTCTGGACAATACCCTCGGGGAGTTTCTTGTCGACAAACTTTGCTTGGTTTATGACTGCCATGCAAATTTGACCATGCTATTTTGCTTGCTATCGGGATGTCGCCTTTTGCGACCTCACATACAACTTGTAGATTTCCTTCGGCCCTTGCATATTCATTTCATCCATATACTAAATGCTAATCCTTGGATGCATGGATGGGAAAAGGATGGCTGCTACTCTATCTCGGATTACCACTCCGTATCTTCACCTCCCAAACTCGTATAGCAAAAGGGCGCGAAACGATCGCGGATGGACCATTCATTCAAGTTTGGCGACGAGGTACCGATTGCTGCATCACATTTTAAACTCAATCAAGGTCACTTCCAAAGTTTAGGCATTGTTTTACTGTCCCCGTTCATATTGTTCACATTGTCAGACCAAATTTGGATCATGACCCACCGCCAGAACATGTTGTGTAGATCACATGGTCAGCAAAGATTCATCGCAGATGCCCACAAGAGGTTTTTCAAGCATATTGTTGTGATTCCCCTTCCGATGAGCTTCGGTCGGTATCATGGTTACTCTTACACTTGCCCTGCCCCTTTCTGGTTGATGGGCATGATGAATATTGGCTTCAACCTGTTTTTTTTTTGGGGGGGGGGATTCGCATAATTGATGGCGGTCCTTCCTTCACTGCTGGAGTACATTGTTCCTTCATAAGGTTATCTTACAGAGGAGTCAATGTGGGAACCCCTTTTTTTTAGATTCTTTTGGGACAATTGCTCCAATCTATTCATGCAGAGCAGCACGTGCTGGGAACTGGGTGTAGCGTCCCGTATGGAATTATACAAAACATGTGAACTCTATGTATCCTGTTCATGCTTGTGATCTTGCTCGGTGAGGTAGGCCATATTTCCTCTGGTTCAGCGTGCTTGTGGTATGCACCACACGGGCCCCCTTGGGCCCGGTAGTAGGTTGGCGGGTTGGCTAGGGGGATTAGGCGGTTCACATTTATTCTTTTGGGCTACAGCATTCAAGCATTGGTTCTGTTTTCTTTCCTGGTCGGCCTCAGTCCCTGTTCGGTCTGGTTCAGTGACTTTCCTTTCAGTCCGAGTGTATCTGCAAGCAGAGTAGGGACCGATACAGGTCCTGCGGCCGTTCTTTAGGCCAGATTTACACAGCTTGAGACATGGTCACTTTCCCCTCTGGGCACCAGATCCATCTTCAGTTTGGGCGCCAGATTCAGACATGGTCGCTTTTCCCTCTGGGCGCCAGTTTCATTTTCAGTTTTGGCGTCAGACTCAGACATGGTCACACTTTCCTTTCTGGGCGCGGGTTTCAGTTTGGGCGCCAGGTTAGCCAGAGGCTCACTTTCCAGTTTGGGCGCCAGTTCGGCCACACAGCAGTAGGCCCAGCAGTATATATAGCTGGGCCAGCCTCATTTGGGGCACGCAGAGCTAGAGAGGTTGAGGTCTACACGCTGCTGGGCAGCGCTGTTTCAGCAGAGGAGATAGGCAGAGTAGTAGAGTAGTAGGAGGCTGAGAGCGGAGGCCAGACTATGAGAGAGACTCACCTGCAGACTTAGCTAGTGCCATAGCTCCTGTTCGTCTTCGGGCGTCTTCCACGGGCATCACAGCTCCAAGGAGACACCTTTACCTTCAAGAGACTTTGAGAGGATTCATCTTCTTCGTCTCCCTCCAGCTCCATCACTTCTCATCCTCCTCCCTCCCTCGGATTCTTCTTATTCTTCTTCTTATTCTTCTTCCTTCTTCTTCTTCTTTCTTCTTCTTTTTTTTTTTTTCCATACATAAAACAGGTCCTTATGACCCTGGCTCCATTTCCATTCTGGGGAGCATCAGTCCGGTTCCTATTCCACCGGCAAGTCAGAATAAAATATTACATCATGAAACATACTCACGCTTCCTTCCGTCTGGCCGAAGGAACCCTGACCAGCATTGATTACTCCAGCATCGTGGAGGATTGATGGTCAGCTTGCCTTACTTCCACCTTTCTTCTCAGGTCCACTGCATGAACCTGTCAGATAAATGATAAAGAACAAGAAAGGTAAAAGGACGTCTTTCTTCTTCTCCTTCTTTTTCTTCTTCCTTCTTCTTCTTCTTCCTTCTTCTTCTTCCTTCTTCTTCTTCCTTCTTCTTCTTCTTCTTCCTTCTTCTTCGTCCTTCTTCTTCTTCCTTCTTTTTCTTCTTCCTTCTTTCTTCTTGCTTCTTCTTGCTTCTTCCTCCTTTCTTCTTCCTCCTTCCTTCTTCTTCATCTCTTCTTCCTCCTCCTCCTCCTCCTCCTCCTCTTCTTCTTCTTCTTCTTCTTCTTCTTCTTCTTCTTCTTCTTCTTCTTCTGTGGTGTGTGTGTGTGTGTGTGTGTGTGTGTGTGTGTGTGTGTGTGTGTGTGTG